ACAGTGACTGAAAGAAGAAACTTGGGTAGTTTTAGACGTCTGACTTTGAATTTTTCAACTTGAGTTGGTTAAAAACAGTTGGTCCAAGTGATCATTGGGGAGAGTTGATTTTGACTGTACTTATTTATTATTATTTTATTATACTACTTATTATTTTATTATTTATTTATTATTATTTTATTATACTACTTATTATTTTATTATTAATTTATTATTATTTTATTATACTACTTATAATTTTATTTATTGTTTATTATTTTATATACAATTAAAAAGATTCTTATACAATATTGTTTTATTCTACAAATGATAGTTGATAATACTATTCATATATACAAGGTTTGTATTACAGATGAGCCTTTAAAAAATTCTATCTATTTATCCAATAATCTTTGAAGGATTGTTGCATTACATGTAGGTAAAGGTTATTGCATTCAGCAAATAAAATTGTGCTACTTGATACCTTTGATTATCCTTCTCTTAACATAATTTCTTTAAACAAACCTATTTCATTAAAACAAGCAAGTTTTAAAGAAAATAATAATGATTAAATCAATTTTTAAATCAAAATAATGATGATATCTTGATTAAGTAAGCATAATAAGTTATTACATAATAACTATATAACAATAAGCTAATAAATTATAATAATCTAGCAATAATTAACCAAATAAAATACCTTAAAACTACTGTATTATTCAAATTGTTGCTGCCAAAAAAACCAACTGCTTTTCTAATGCTTGTTCCTGCTAAAGAAAGAATTTACAATGTATATGGCAATGTGATGCATTCTATACAATGAATGCAAAAAGCAATTTTTTATATACATTTTTGATTAATTATACAAATTTTTCTATATGTTATTTTGCAATTTTTATTAATTATGCAGTTTTCTTTTATTTATTTGTATGTTTAGTCATCTTTATGATTACAAATATAAGCACATCCTGTAAAAATTCTCTTTATAAGCACATCTATTATGAAACCAACTATTATGAACATATATGAAAAAAACCTCTATATAAGCACAACTTTTTCTAAACACATTTTTTAAAAAAAGATGTTATAATGATCCTGATAGCGTAATTACATGTTTTTTATTAATTATAAAAATTTTTATTGATTATGTAAATTTTTTATTTGAATCTTTGTTTTCTAATATAATTAAATTCATTATAAAAAAAATTTATATTTTTCTAATTTTTAAATATAAAATTTTTTAAGATTTTTTTTTCATGCGTAAGAACTTTAATAATATAATTAATATTATTGCTTTTTCATATAATTTACCGCTTGGATGTATATTTTTTTGAGGAATTAAATTTTTCACCAATTGAGAAATGATCTAGTTCATTTTAGGATTCAAGAATGATCTAGTTCAATCCGGAATTGATCGAAATCGTGAAATAAATAATACCTCTTTTGACATGACTGTTCATCTTTTTGATAACTGTTCATATTTATGATACAATATATTTCACTGAGTTTTTTGCATTTAACAAACCAAAATTACAATAAATTCTATTATTTATAAGTTCAAACCCTTATCTATGGGTAACAGACCCAAACACGTTTCAAAAATTAAGAAATCTATATTTATTAAATCCAGATCTTCTATTATCAAGTTTAAATGTCTAACAGTAATTTTTAATCTCTAAAAAGCAAAAATCAAAAACCATTTGATTGGGAATCTAGTTATTTTAAGATGTTAATTCAAAAAAAAATTTTTTAAAGCCAATTATGTTGTGATTCCAACTCTTTTGTGATTAACAAGATCTTTTATTATTATTATTATAAGCTATATCTACAATATTTTTAGATTAGGAAGTTAAAAATAAGGGCAACATTTTGATAAAGTTTAATAATAGGTTATTTTATAACCATTCGGGCGCATTTGTGGAATTGGGCAAAAATTAAAAACACCGAATTACTATTTAATAATTGTCGCGGCTAATGCTGAAATTGGCTGATGCTGAAATTTGGTGTCCCAATTTTAAAATATAGGCCCTGTTAGAATCCGCATATACTCTTTAATTATAATTCTGACCCTAAATCCTAACCTAATTATAAAAAAAAACGGTAAAAAAACACCCCAAAATTTGGTTAAAATTTCATATCAAAATAGGTCCAAATTTCAGCATCAGCCAATTTCAGCATCAGCCGTGACAATAATTATTACATGTCAACCATATGTCGCATTTAGTAAACTGAACCCAAAACATAAAACTAATATAATTATCGTAAACTGAACCCCAAAAACAATAAAACCAATATAATTATCGCAAACTGAACCCCCAAAAAATAAAACCAATATAATTAAACGTCAAAACCCATCTCCCCACCTTAAAACCATCTCTTTTTTACTGTTAAAATTCATCTCTTTGACGTTAAAATTCAACTCTTCTTATAAATATACTTATAGTCAAATGATTTGACTTACGTTAAATATCTATCATAACTGCGTCATAAATTTAAGGTAGCGTAAAAAGTCGCCCTAATGCTTACCAGAAGTTTATTGATGTTTGCAAATTTGGAATTACAAAAATTTGGGGACTGTGTAGATTATAATTTCTTATTGTTAATACTTAAGGTTTAGGTTAAAGCTTAGGATAAAATTAGAAGCTATAAATTAAAAATTAAAAATTAAAAATTAAAGGTTTTTTGGGATGTTAAATATTTTTATTTAATGCACCTGACACCTAGTGTAATTTAAACATGGGCATATTATTTATAAATTGAGTAATTGAAATTAATCACGTAACACATATAAAATACTATATTAAATAATTGAGTTTATGACGTCAGCAGAAAATGTGTACGTATGTACCAGGTTTGGATTGGATTATCGTCCGGAAAGATAGGTCGGAGTGAGTTTAGAACCGGTTTTATGTTTCATATTTTAAAACCGGTTTTAATCGATTTTATCATATGAAAAATAAAACCGGTTCCAAACTCTAGGTCGGAATGATAAGAACATTCGGAACTAGAAACTAAAATTATGTACCGGTACAGTATTTGCATCATGTTAAACATTACATACTTACATAAAAAGTTAATAATCGATTTTGTCATTAGCATTAGTTTAGCATTATATTTCCTACAACAAAAAAAAAAGAAAGAAAAAGAAGACATGCAACAGACACGCAACAATTATTTCGTTACTTGCAATAACTAAATGTAGAAATAAGCCATTTAAGGAAGATATTGAAATTGGTTTGTATTTTATTCATAATTACATAGCGATAAAGATCTAAATAAGCATAATGTCTGTTGAAAAGTTTCTAAACGTATCATTGTTAATATTAACTAACTTTTCAACTACATGGAATATTTCGAAAAAGGATATAAAAAATCTAATATTTAACGATGGATAAGTTAGTGCCTTATTTATTTCACCAAGATTCCTTATCACAGTCGAAGTAGATCGAAAATTAGAGTTCTGCCGCATCAATTTAAAAAAAAAAAATTCGGTTACAGTAAGAAAATATTAATCCAAGATGAAGAAGTATAATAAAAGATTAACCACAAAAAGAGCGCAGTCAATTCTTTCTATAAAGAAAAGATCCTGGAAGAAAAAATAAGTTCGTTATAGAAAATTACTATTGTTTATTAAAACACATGGCATTTTTTATACCGAACTATTATGAAATTCCAAAATTTTGAGTTCATTATATCCAGAGTCGACTGTACATAATTTATTGAAAAAAAAAACAAATGGTTAAACAAATAAACTAAAGCCAAATAATAAAGCTAAAATAATTAAACCAGAGTTATATTTTTATAATGTCAAACTTCAAATTATTTGTATTGTAAATTGCGTTAAATATTGCTTTATAAGATCGTTATTTAATTGAAAAAATAAAGTCTTATCGTTAGGAAAAAAAGAATCGAATACTTAATTTCCGGACCTTAATCCACACTATCATCCGAACTATCATCCAGTACAGTACACATTTTCTGGGTGCATTTGTTTATAGGCGATGCTAGGGCTGTTCTGGTTATATAGAGCTGCATTGTATGGACATGTTTTTTTGTTTACATTATTAAGTTTCTTTTTTTCTTTTACATATAATAATTTTTCTTAGTGTTGCGTTTGTGGTTAGGTGTATTGCTTTAGCTATCATTATACATGTGTGCCTGAATTATTTTTGAAAAAAAGTATTTTCGACAAACATTTCAGTATTGCTAAATTTTTATATTAAACCCTTAGAATAACTATACTAGATGATGTATTTTGCTGAAGAGTTGGCAATAATTTCAGCAAATATGAAAATTAATTTCGACAATAAGTCTAATTTCGGCTGCTTAAATGCCGTAATTGCTTTTTTATTAAGGTGGAACACAAGTATAGCTATCATCATTACTACTAATATAATATGATTAAGAATATTACTAACTATAACCGGTGGTGATTATCACCGGAATGCTATATCTCAAAAACCTACAAGTACAAGCTAATTCATGTCAGAGGTACTAAGCAAAAATGTCCAGAATCCCAAAAATCTAACCCTAAAATAAGAGGCGGCGATGATAACCACTGGTTATTTGTAGTAAAATCAATTTTTAAATTATTTGGTTAATAAAATATATTCTTTATATTTCAATCTAACCAAATTATTAAGCCACCTAAAAAAAAACAGTCAGATATAAACCAAAATTTAATATTATAGGAAATCACGATTTTTAACTAACCACTATTTTTTTTTAATAATTTACAAAATTTACAACTAATAATTTATCTGATCCATAACATCATTTATAAATATACGTTAAAGTATATGCTATGCATTGATTCATGTTCAAAAGGAAATCTTTTTTTGTCAAAAGGGGTATAAACTAGGTAATATATTTTACCAATAGTCGACTAATGAATATAGAGTCGCTATTATTATATTTTAACTCAAAATATTTATACGATGCTTATGTGGAATTTCTAAACAATTCTATTTCAATGATCAAAAGTGGATAATTTATTTTCAGTGCTCAAATATGTACACCGGTCAACAAACGAAACCTATAATAAAATTAGTTATCATACTTACATGACTAGCATGACCATCACCATTTAAATTATGATGAGTCTTGCTTACTTGTAAACTAACAAAAATATATATAATTAATATTTAGTCAACAAATCACATCCATTTAGTCTCTAATTCTAAATTTAATCATACTTGCTCAAATTCTTCAGGATGTGTAGACAACTCTTTTAGTATTATTTCCTTGCGTTGCAGAAGTCGGTGATTTCTCCGTGTTCTTGCGCCTTCAAATATTTCTACCATATGTGGTTGAACTGGTTTGACGTGTGGAACAGGTGTTGGTACATTTGAAAAATCGACGGCAACTATTATAATAGTGGTATTTATGTTAAATATAATTTAAGATTTTTCTTCAAAAGCGGTAAATTAAGCGAAAATCAACCCATTGTGAAGAATCCATCATTAGTGAAGAAACTTTCACCCGTTAAGACATTTTCTGTGTAAACAAGACATAAAATGGTATGTATGATATTAATATTTAAAATTATTTTAGCATGACATAATATACATATTTCAACACATACCAGCTTCTACAGACACATATATTTCCAAGCTTGA